CTATAGCCACACATCCCAATCAATGACGCTGGGCAGTTTACAATTCAAAAATTATATTGCATGCTGGTAGGCATTGGGAAAGGAAAAACAGTTTAGAGTCCCAGGGGTAATCAACCTTGGCTCTTTTATGACTCGTGGACTTCAACTCCCAGAATGGGAGCCAATTCCTGGCTCAGGAATTCTGGGAATTGAAGTCCACGAGTCATAAAAGAGCCAAGGTTGACTACCCCTGGTTTAGACTATCTATCCTAGGGCTGTGTCCTTTGCTTTCAATAAGGCTTGGTCTGCTCTGTTGGTATTGTCAGAAGAAATTGTTGTCCGCACTTAACCAGGACCAGTAAAGGTATCTCTTGCTCCAACCACAAAGCTAGTGATCACTTCGCATTATTATGAATTCAGCATTATAGAATATTTCTGCTTGGTTGAGCTAAGCCTATGTCTGCTTTTATAAGAGAAATTATACAGTACACTGTGCATTAAATCTTACCAGTTTTAAAAAGTTAGGGATAGTTTCTTTTTTTCCTACATCTTTCTTTTTGCCTGGCAGACAGTGCATTCTCCGTAGCTAAGAAAGTGGAAGTAAAATATGGCACTGATTCTTTAATAAAAACTGGGTGATATAGCCTGTCAAGGAAACAAGCTCTTGACCCTTTTTCAGCAGACACCTCTTATAGCCTACAGATTTCTTCAATATTCTAGTAATTGTACCATTGCACTCGGAAAAGGAAAGGCCCCAGCAGTACCATGTGCCACAGACACTTCAAGGAAAAGCAAACCAAAATAGGAACATAATCTTTTAACCTTGAAGGCAGGATCCAAATGAAAAGAATCCAGTTATCTTTGTTAGGAAGATCTCATAGGGCAGCGGTTCTCAACCTATGGGTCGCGACCCCATTTGGGGTCGATCGACCATTTCACGGGGGTCGCCAAGCAAGGCTGTCTGCCATTTTTTTCCCCTTTTCCGGCGGGTGCCTTACCTCCCTTGGGCTGGGCCAGCTGGTGGTCGGCCTGCTCCGTCTCTGCCGCTTGCCAGCTACGCCTCGGCCGGCACGGGGCGGAACCACACATGCGCGGCGCTCCTGGGCAGGGAAAGTCCTCGACTTACGACCGGTTGGGTAGTCCTCAACTTACGACCGGTTTAGTCCTCGACTTACGACCGGTTGGGGGTCGCTGCATTAAAAAGGTTGAGAACCACTGTCATAGGGTAATCTAGGAAGTCACTGATTTAGGGCAACTTCCCTCAAAACTGAATTGCAGCTTCCTATGACCAATCATCAAAAATGGTAGAGGGAGAAGTATAGCCCAAAATATCTGGTGGCTGGAAGTCTGGTTAGCAGCACATTCAGATCAAGATTTTTGTCAGATTTTTTGTCAACAGTAAGCTTCGCTGTGTCTGAACCACTCCTTTGAGTGTGTCTACCACCATTGCTTGCTTACCAATAGGTATATAAGTATGTGAAGGTGTATGTGTGTGTGTGTGCAGTTTGTGCTTCTCATATTTTCTTTAATGAACATGGAGCTCTGTGTGTGATTGCATCAATAAGACACTTTCACATGTTATTAGATCTGATTTCTCTCCCCCATTGTTTACTAGAAAGGACCTGTCATCAGGCTTATGAAATAACAGGGCTCCAGGATCATGAGAGAGATGGATTTAAAAAGATTCTTTTAAGAGTGCCTCACAAAAGGGTGCAATGCCACACATTTACCTTAACAAAGAAAAATGTTATGTTAATAAAAACCGTGAATATGGGACAATAGCCAGAAAAACGAGTTCGTGTAAGACTTCTGTTGAGACCAATTACCCATAGTATCACTTTAATGAGGTACAAGATTTTGTGTGGATAAAACAGGACTTGAGTTGCACACTGTGACAGATCTTGGGCTGTGTGTGAGCTGTATTCCTTGTTCGTGTGGGGAAAAATTGGTATTCAAGCATTCCAAAAATTCTTAGTGGGCAACCTCATTGAACAAAGAGATTTCACACCAGCAAGCACTACCTTAGAGTTATATTCACTGTTTAAATTATTTTGCATATGTTACTGTATGAGATCATTGCATATGTTAAAATGCTATTCATTTAATCCCAATGGAAATTTCCTGTAAAAAGATAAAAGGTAGAATTTGACTTTTCTGCAGCAGCTGTAGCCTTGTTAATGCAAAGGTGCATTTATCCATATCTTCCCGTTTGTGCTGAAGAAAGAATAAGGTGAGATCAGAGGCGTAGCGTGGGGGGTGCAGGGGGGGCCGGCCACACCGGGCGCAACATCTGGGGGGGCACGCTCGCACTCGCAGCTCTCTGACCCTGCCTGGCTCACTCACTCTCTCTGCAGTGCTGGCTGTGCGAATCCGATCCGAGCCGCCAGGTCGCCGACGCCGCCCACTGTGGAGGGGGGCGCAAATTACTTGCCCCGGGTGCTGACAACCCACGCTACGCCACTGGGTGAGATAAAAAAAAGAGGATAAAAAACCCAATCCTTCACAAACAATTCATATCTAAATAAAGCAGGATTTGTGCTATTATTTGCCCCAGTGAGTTTACTAAGGTCAGTCTAACTCATTTTGTTATATAAGAGCAAGGTTAGGGAGAGAGGGTTACCCATGGGAAAAAGAGAAAAGCAAGCAAATTTTGGCATATTCCAGAGAAAATATTTTTAATGTGATCATAGGTTGTGTGTTAGGGCTCTAATGTTTATACATGCAGAAGACAGGAGCGTCATGCTTATTCTTCATCTTTGTGAGTATTGAAGTGAAAGAAAGAAACACAAATACGTGTGTTTTCCTTTGGAATGAGGAAGGAGGTATATGTTTTAGGTGATATATGTGAAATTAGGATTTGTGCCGTGTACCTCCCAAACCTCAGCCTTTCCTATAGTTCTCACCATTTCAAGCCAGCATGCCTAGTGGCTCTATTGAAAGGGCTGAAAGTGGGGATGGCTCCTGAATGAGTTTAAAGCAGGGGTGTCCAAACTTTTTTCAAAGAGGGCCAGATTGGATGAAGTGAACGTGCTGGAGGGCCGAACATTTTTCCGAACATTCTTTGAACCATTACAATTAAATGTAAATGAATTATTTTATGCCTCTTTCCTCTCCCTCTCTTTCCTCTCTCTCTCTCTCTCTCTTTCCTTTCCCTTTCCTCTCCCCTCTCTCTCTT